GGGTTGGGAAGTTCTCCCCCACTCACCATATTCTTATCAAATATTCACCATATTCAAAGTCAAAATGTATGTTTAATACATGGCTTTCCCCGACGATTTTATATCGTCAGCTCCCATGACGATTTGGATGTTCAAAATAATTTTAATATAACGTATTAAATTCCTTATGTTGTAGTAATAGCTACGTAAAAATCTTCAATGGAATTGCCTAATAATTATTCATAAACATAAAAGTTTAGTAAAGTTGCTGTTAACCCTTTGATTTTTACTCGGTGATTTGATTTGAAAAATAATAATCGGAGATGAAATAAATTTTCTTCTCCCGAAAACTTCATTATTCTCTTTGTGCTCCAATCATTAAGGCTTTTGAAACAAAATTTGTTTTTCTTACGTATCTTAATTTGGTTATTTATTACTCTCGACTCTGTTATCGTGAAGTGTTTTAGACACTTAATTTGGTCTTTACTCTCAATGTGAAAAATCCAATGAAAGTAGTTTTAAAAAGGAAATATGAGGAAATGAAAAAAATACGGGGGAAAGAAATGATTAATGAACCATAACCAGAAATTAGAGAAGTCAAAAACTGAAACGGATGAATCAAACAAAAACAAACCAAAAATAAGAAAAACGTGAAATTTCGACCACTTTTTATGTTGTTTAATGAACTGGAACCCAATATATACGTATGTATGTTAAAGTATGTAAATTGCGAACTATAAAGTGCAATTCAATAAAATATTTAATCTATAAAGTGCTAATTCGAAAATTCAATTACCACTAACGGAAAAAACAAAAACAAACAGAGACGACGAGAATGAAGGCGGTAATAAAAAAATTCAATCCCGTAAGTTGCCAAAAATGTAATAAAAATGACCTATGCAAACTAGTAGTTTCTTATTCTGTTGAGAAATGGGTCGATAGCTATGTTTTTGTTTGTACGTAGAGATATATTGTTAACTACACGTTCAATTGTGTTCTTGGGTTTGTGTAGAGATATAATGTTAAGTACGTACACAGTTGTGTTGAAGAAGAGATATAATGTTAAACATTAAAAGATATAATGTGTTCAGTTGTGTTTTTGTGTCTGGTGGATATAAATTAGTTATTGACTATTATGTATGTAAGTCTAACAAAATAATGACTGGATATTTTAGACTAAAATACTTTATATGCTGAACGGTGTCCGATATTAATTACTTTAAATGAAAAGAGCCAGAACAAGATTAAAGGTCACTGCATCTGAATGACTCACATTATTGTATCTTTACAACAACGTACATGTGTCCAAAAATTTGACGTTGAATAAAATAGTTTATGAAGTTTTATTTTATTTACAGTTGGTTTGACTGTAAAGTAAAATGTGGATGACTCTTACTCTGTAATATTTTACAGTTGGTTTGACTGTAAAGTAAAATGTGGATGACTCTTACTCTGTAATATTTTACAGTTGGTTTGACTGTAAAGTAAAATGTGGCTGACTCTTTCTCTGTAATATTATTCAACTTACCATAAAATAATGTCGCCGGTCTACAGAAAACTTTGTATCCTTTTAACTTCCCATTGATGGATGTCTCCGGTGGTGACGTCCACGTAACAGTAATGCTTTGTGATGTAACAGGCACACAATTTACATTTCCAGGTGGCGCTGTTGGCACTGAAGAAGTTGAAATCGAATTACTACAGAAAAAGTACTTGGTTTTAAATTAATACTAAATGTCGTAACGATATGAATAAAACTCAAGAGTATTTAGTTTGTAAAATAGATTTGGTTATTGTTGTTGCTCGATGAACCCTAATCAAATATTAAAATATATTCGTAAAACTAAAATAAAAATATGCATAATTGCAAATACAAGAAAATAATAAAAAAAGACTGACACACATATTTTAAGGCATGGTTTCTGTCACTATAGTTCTGCGTTAAGTGTGTTGTAACACCTATACTTATATAGTGGAGATGAAATCTTAGAAATAAGTAAAACTGATTAACTGGGCGTTGATAGCGGTTAAACTGAAACGTTTAGATTAGTCATATATACCGTCTTCATAAGTTCTTCCGATGATGGCGTCAGAACGAGGTCCGGCACCCTTTTCATTAAAAGCTTGAACAACTACGGTGTAGAATGTGAATTTTCTCAATCCCTGAAGATCACATTTGATGCGGGTATTTTCATTAGATTTTGCTTCGACAGTCTTGTACTGGTAGGATTCAGAGGAGTTTGTCTTTTTGTATCCCACATAATAGCCTTGAATAACTCCGTTCCTAACACTTTCCAAAGGAGGCTTAAAAAACAGTCAAAATATATCAGTAAGATTGTTATTTTAATGGTGAAACTAATGGATAACACGTGACTGCAAAAACTATTGAAAGCACTGCACCAGTGCTGAGTTTTTGAACAACTAACCAGGTTCTACACTTTAAGAAAAAAGTTTAATTGAGGTATGATTCTAATAAATACACCCCTTGTTACTGACAATTGAGAATTCACCCAAAGATATAAATGTGGAACAAATAAAAGTACATACTCCTGTTATATACTTGAAAGTGTGAATTTATAGACAGAATGGGAGTAATTTATTAAGTCTTGTGTAGGTATTAAAAAACTATCAATAGAATTACTTATAAGATAGTTTTACAATTACTATTAAATGTTATTAATATAATTTGTTTAGAAGACAGAATGTAGATATTTACATTTATGAAGTATTACTTCTTAAAATATTAATATTTAATGGTTCATAATTTTACTGTGTGTTTTAAATAATTTTTTCTAGTGAATGATATGAATAAACACTTTTAGGGGTATATCTCCCATATTAGAGCTTCACACCAACTTTTTTTAGAGTTTACTTATCACACAATAATAATAATAACTTCCGATCAGAATAAACTGTGTACTTGGAGCTAAACTAAAAATTATCTTAGCCATCAGTACAGTTAAATATATATATATATGTACTTTTCTCAAGTTTCTACTTATGAAGCATTGCTTCATCAGTTGGATGCCCTCGCTGTTAACGATATTTTCGGGCATAAATCAAAACGTATTAGAAGCTTAATGAATATATAATCATAAAACTAAAAATGCATTTGTTCTTTTGTTAGCCACTAACCGAAACGAGTCTGTTTTCACGTGACAGATATGATTGAATTATTCATTTCCATGAAACATAGTAAGATAAAGAACATAAAGACCGTTTGGAGATTGCAAGCCTATTATTATTTATTGTTTGGAGATTACAAACACATTTATTGTTCAGGAATGTAATTGTGTAGAGAAACATTATTTGATTAAAAATATTTATCGGGAGGAAAAAGTGATATGAAGTCTAAAACTTATGATTGTACATAAATAAGAATGCATAACAATATTATCAATCATACTATATCTGCTGAAAAGGCCTTTCGGACAATCCCAGGACTCTTCAGGCCGGACAGGTTGAAACGCTATTTAATGACGATATTAAACTGTAGCTCTTCCATGTTTTATTTCTTTTTATATCTGCTGTATCCAATGCTGAATAGGCCTTTCGCTCAATACCATGACTCTTCAGGCTGGACAGCTTGAAACGCTATTTAATGATGATATTAAACTGTAGCTCTTCCATGCTTTCTTCTTTTTTTTTTTTTTGCTAAAAAATTTAATTTTTATAAATTATTGGAAAATGCGTTTTAATGCAGCGTAATCCAGAAAACGCTTAATTTTAATATTTTAACCTGAAATTTACTGCTAACCATACTTTACCCCTGATGACAGTAATTTAATTTTTAACCTTCAAATTTATCATGTTACTCGTATAATAATTACAGGCTAAGACTATCAGGTCAGATTTAGGGTTTTCCGTTAATCTCCTGTAGTTGACGTATATCTTTATGATTTTATTTATGTAAATCTAAAAGTTTGTTGTCCCAAAAGACAAATTACAAATCTTTTTGTTGGCAACTGTACGACCCTCCGATAATCACAAAACTTATCATCTTCCAGATAATATTAAAATACTCTGCATCATCAAAAGTCTGAGTTCAATAACTTCCCAAAATAATGGTGATGCTCTTAAAAGAACTCGTCCCTCGGTGAGTTAGTTGTAAGTTTACGGACTTACAACGTTCAATTTCCCGCAGTAGAAAGAGCGCAGATAGCTCATTATATTGCTTTGCGCTAAAAAAACAAAAAAGTCGTGTACTTTTGCAAAAATCTCTTCTCACTAGCAAAATAGCATACATTATTTTTTCCTTTAGTTTCAAATCTTTTAACTGCTTCACGAAAAATTTATATAGTGTGATATGTAATACTTAGAAACTTAAATTTCAGAACAAGTAAAATTTACTGTTGTCTATATGAGTCACACTAACTGTCGTATTTACTGGTTTGTGAGAGTGAACTGATTTTTTTAAAGTAGCCAAAGATTTCCCATCTTTAATATTATCAACCCTTAATATTTTTTACTTTTTTCAAGTATACACATCTAACAACTAAGAGATCGGCTTTAAATTGCAGATCCACGTTGAAGTACCTGATTTATAGATTATTGTTAGACTGTTTTCTATGCACTTCGCACTTTCAGTAGTTGTCTCAATAATTTTTGTTTCATTAAAACTTTCTATATTGCTATAGAAAGTTACGTATATCCCTACTTGTTTTATAATTTTTTATTATACTCGTTTGCTTCTTTTTTATTAGCTATATTTTTGTGCGCCAGTAATACAAAGTTTGGGCTCGCATTTACCCGATTCAATTTTACTCATCAGGATCTCTACGAAACTACCCTCAAATGTAATTATACGCCCCTAGTAGCACATCATTGTCCGTTTTATATGTGTATGCTAATATCCTTCTCGGTACAAGAAAGGAATCATTGGGAACCCAGACAAAAGTCACTTAATTACTTACTTAGATGAAATAGTGAAATTTTGATTCACTCCATAAATACGTACATAGCAATTTAGGCAGTTGTATAAGTACAGTAAGCTTTAGTTTTGCTCAGCCAATACTTTGAAATAGTCATTGTTAATATTCAAACATTTTAAAGGTGGTTTTAAACGGGCGATTTTTATGGCCGCCATTTTGTTTCATGACGATCCATACTTTTAAGTACTACAGTACTTAATGATAAGCGCACATTCTTGATCTACATTTTAGCTTTTCTGATGAAAAAACTGTCACCGGCAATACAGAAGGTTGCATATATTATATTAAAACACTTTTGAATACACGTGACAACCATATCCGATATAAAGTCGCGGTGAATGACATGTATCAGTACTACATTTTTTAAATTATTTGGCATTTCGTAGGTAGTGTTATGCAACCGAAAAATTGCTTTTAGGAAGGTTAATTAATAGTCCTTTCCAGCGCAAAATATTAATACACTAAATACATGGAAAATGTATGCAAGTAGAAGATGAGCTTACCAACCAAGAGACTCGCAGAGCTTCTGACGTCACACTTTCTATGATAATAGATTGCGGTGGTCCAGCAGGAGCTGTAGGCATGAAAAAATTTCTCACTTTCAATCAGTTTGTATAAAACGGTGAATATTAGATGGATATAGCGTAACATATTAATATATCAAGATTCTTTATTTACGTTTTGGTTTAATTCTAAATAAATTAAAACGATGATTAAACAAATAAGAATTTTTAAAGTGCATCAGAATTCTAAAGCTGAAAAATTTTAAAAATTATCTAGTTACCTTTAGTTAGAATTTGTTTATTTCATATTCATACTAAAAGTTAGAAATTAGTTTCTTATGATACAAATTGCATTAAGCATTTTATTAGACAATGTATCTTTGTCTTTTAGATCTGACATTGATAAAATTGAAAAGCTCAGCTTATCATGGTAAGAGCACTGTATCTCAAAGCAAGCAGATGTAGTTCTTATATGATTTATATGAGAGAATACCAAAGAGGTTGTAACAAAACGTACTCTCAGCTTCGGTTGTAAAGGAAACTTTCTTGCTTGGTCCACTCACACCAATAACGTTTTCTGCTGTTACATAGACTTCGTAAGTTGTAGCAGGCTTCAAGAAGTTCACACGAGTACTGATATCTGTACTAGGAATCGTTGTGTTGTATAGGACTCTGTGGTTTGCTTCGGAGTGTAAGATTAAATCAGATACAAGAGGAAAACTCAAACAAAATTAACTTCACTAAAAACACTTACACGTTCAGAGAATGTGGAGATTTTTCGTGTTTTATTAATTGAAATACTTTGGTCTGGAAAACCATTTACGATCAATCGAAACAGTAGCTAAATGAATACATTTAATGATGTGAAAATGCGTTTTCGATATTTGAACAATAATTAATCAGATTCAGATTTATTACGGTTCAATGGGCGTACCTTTGGGCTGAACAAAACCTTACCAACCTTTCAGCGAAGACACCAGATACAGATATTTTTATATTACAGTTGTCAAATATCTATCTATTCAATTACCTTTTATCTTATTAAGTATTTACCCATGTTCCTATTTGTTTAATGTATCAATCTAGATATCATTATATTTGTTTATGTTTCTTATTCTTTCTCTCCGCTCACCTTTCTATCACTCCATTCAGATGAATAATTTCAGTCTCATATAATATCTAGATAGGAAATAATATTATTATGTGGTTTTCTTTAAAGGCAATGAATTACTTTAGTGTTATATAAAGTTGAATCAGATATAGTAAATTACAATGAAGGGCTCATTAACTGTGAAAGACATGGTGTCTGTAAAATACATATCGACTACGCTTAGGCTCGTGAACTTGCTATCTTCATTACTAATCTCTAATTTCAAAAATTTCCCTTTCTTTTAGTAATGGTTCTCAAATGATTCATTCGCTACAGTATCATCTTGGTAATTGCAAACAAGAAAGAATCAGACTCAGCCAACTATTAGATAATTATGTCCCATGGATGGTACAAATTACTCGCAATCACCAGTTGTATAGTTAACATTAATACCTGCTGCAGAGAACCATAAAAAACAACAACACAAAATGAAGCGATCTGAATTAGCGACCAACGGAGCTTATAGAAAATGTTTATCATCTAACTTTCGGTACACGTGTTTCGAAAGTAAAGCTCGGTTTTTCTTCTTGTATTTTTTTTTTTTTTGTACAGCAGGAATGAAATAAAATCAAAACTTCTGAATATTATCACTTCTTTCTCTTCTACATTGCCTTCGCAGTTCTGTGTAATTTGTAGAAAGGAAAAAACAAAAGGTTTACCATATACAGTAGTTTATTAACAATAACCCCGCATGCAATTTTACTAGTAGAAAAAAAAACTGATTGAAGCTCAGCGTAATACAGACTTGCTCTTTGGTTTAAGATATACACACCCAAAACTTCTTAATTCAACTTGATCAAAATTAAAAAAATAAAAACTTGCTACCTTCAGATGAAGTTATTTTTCTTGTTCGCTGCCAGTAGACGGTGTAATAAATAATAGGACTATTCCCACTAAACGGTGGATCCCAGTGGATTCTAGTAGAGCGGCTCGTGGTGTCTGCAGCGTGAATTTCTCTGGGTGGATCGGGTGGTTCTGAAAAGCAAAAAATGTATAGATTATGCTTACACAAGTGTTAGAAAAACACATCCGATTATATTGGTGGATGTTACTTTAGATACATAATTCAATTGTGGTGTTTTATGGTGCATATTAATTTACGTTTTTGGTTACGTAAGACTTACCACATACAAGAATGAAAATAATTCTAATTTTGAGATGATACACTCACGAATATCTGTGTATGTGTGTGCGACTAATATCTATTAAACTGCTTCTTCATATTAAGATAGAAATTTCAAACGCATATCTTCATTAAATATGCTTGATTAAATATGCTATTTTAAGGATTGCTAGCTACAAAATCAAGGAAATAAAAAAAAAATTAAACAAGAAAAAGTAAACGATTTCATAAAAATGTGACACCACACAAACTTGTTGAGATTATTTCTACTTGGAGAGAGGTTAGTATTTCTGAGAAGGGTCTCCTAATAATTCTAATAATCTTTTTAAATGCCCTCTGTGCAAACTACTTATAGTTGCAGTTTAGGGTAAGAACAACGTACCTTGTACTATTAGCTGTACGTTAGATTCGTCTGAACCATAGTCATTAGTAGCCATGCAAGTGTAAAGAGCTGAGTCACTTCTGCCAACGGAGGTCACAGTCACTTGTGACTTTAACATGCCACTTGAAGTCACTTCGCTTTTTCTTACCCTGAAATGTTGTTTGTTTTAAGTCGAACCGAGTAAATCGTGAAACTTGCATTGACAAGTAATTTTAAATACGTAAAAGTACTAAATGCAGAAATATTTTAATAAGAACAACAAGATACGAGTTTTTATCTTCATATAACTTTATATTTTATATTACTTTTACTCGAATAACTCTATCATAACAAACAGATAAATGTGTTGTTACTCATATCATTATAAAGACATTAGACAAAGTGCTTCTTTCTACTGTAATAAGATAGTGACGTGTACAGCTCGGATATTTTATGCATAAACTCTTCTGATAAAAATGACTATTAGATTGTGAATCTCAAGTTAAAAGTACGTTTTCTTTGTCATTTAGAAACATTTTTGTTTTCATTTTCGCTTTAAAAGAAATTATCTGTATTTTCAAATATTTCTAAGTTTGTAATTCTTTATCGGTATGAGACAATTTTAGTTGTAACTTTCGCCAGAGAAGAAACTAAAAAAATTTTATCGTGAAAAAAACGTGTTTTTTTTTTCACATTAATCGTTTCATGGGAGTCGTTTTTATGAATTGCTCTCAACACTTTCATCATTTTATTTTACAGCTTTCATAAAATAGAAAAAAAAGGTTTGATTTAATTCTAGAAAGTTTTCGGCTGATGAAATTTTTTACATGATTTTACTTGCTATAGACACGCAAAAAGCAGCATATCTGGAGATAATTAGGATGCGTATCATGACAATTTATCATTCCTTACATCTAAGTTATCTTTAAAATCTTCAGTTAGCGAAGTTATGTTATCAATCTCACCCACCTTGGTTCGAGATCAAATGCAATTGGTTGTTTGTCTCGCAGCCAAGTAATTTTGATTGGTTGGTCACCTATCACACTACAGTCCAAAGTAGCAGACTTATTCTTCGGGATCATCTGGGTCTGGAACCTCTTGCGAAATTTGGGTGCAACTAAAATAATAGAAAGAGTTCGTTTCATTGATAATAATATCTCTTTAGTTACTTAGAGTTCGTTTCATTGATAATAATATCTCCTAAGTTATTTGATTCTTAACTTTGTGTGACCCATTTGACTTATAGTGTGACTCGTTTGACTTGGAGTGTGACTCATTGATTTATAAACTCTTGATAGAAGCGATTTCGAGCGAGACAAAAGATTATTAACCAGTTCACATCAAACACATGTGGAAAGTCTGGAAAGTATAATTTCTATTAAGAAACAAACAAACTTTAGCTGAATATTCTCTAAAATGTAGCGTCACTCTAACGACATCATGGATCGATTTGAATACGTAAAAACCAAAAATTTATCTACCCAAGATAGGCCATAAATGAACTTATAAGATAAAAATTAGAATAATTTTATCTGATGTATCAAGTGTTTAACTATCAAGAAATAACTTATGGGCAAGAACAATATATTCTCAATAAAATAGTACAAAAATTATAAATATCCACATAATAATGAGAGGGTCAGTACAGACTTGGTTACACAAATGTCGCAGAAGTGTGGCTTAATATTTCTATCATTTAACACTTACTACATTAAATAGATAGTTTAAAGGATATTTATAATGAGAAATTATGTTAAAAAGTAAAGGTTTTAAGACAGAATAATGTGAAATGTAATACAACTGGGGCTCCCTTCCAAAACAAAAACTTCCTAACGTTTTACCTGTGATCTCAGAGAATCAAGTATCATCCGTTTTTAAGGGTATAAAAAAGTGTTATTATGGTTATCTGAACAACGAACTGCGTGTCAATTATTTGGTAGCGTCTCTGTGTATGTGTGTGTGTATGCTGTGCTGTATTTTGTGATTGTTTAGTATTTCGGCAAACACTTGTTAGTGTCATCATTAGTAGGAATGAAGGTTTTCTGAACAAATACTTACTAGTGTTAGCATTAGTAGGGAAAAGGAATGGGTCACCAAACATTTGCTAGTATAAACATTAGTAGGGAAGGGGTTAGCTGCAGTATTATCATTAGCAGGGAAGAGTGTAAATTTTAGTAGCAGAAGTAGCAACGAAGGAAATTAGTTTTAGTGTCAGCCTTAGTAACGAACTGGGTTAGTTTTAGTATCAGCATTAGTAGCATAGGATGTTAGTTTTAGTATCAGCATTGATATGGAAGGGTGTTAGTTGTTTTGCTCTTTCTTACATATTCTGAGAAATTTTCAATTTAGCAATAATTATCGCATAACCGTTAAAGAGCTTTACTTATTCTATTTGTAGACTTCTAATGTTTAATGCACATAGGAGTAACAGGCGTTAACTATAAAAAAAACGGATAATTTACACTGAATTTTAAAAACCTTCAGTTATCTAGCATAATCTTTCTGAAGTTAAAACTTTTCAAATTGTGTATTGAATCGTTGGAATAACGCACGATAAATACTAGGGAACTAACTCACATAATCTAAATTTAACTTCACTTATCTACTGCAATCCTTCTGAAGTTAAAACTTTCTTTCTGAATTGTATGCTGAGCCGTATCTATAATCATGAGAGTAATAAAGCAGGGCTGTTAATGAACCTTCGAAACGCCAACGTCAGCTGGTCTATTCATCATGTTTGTTTGACAAGGTAATTATTTTACCAGAATGTAAGCACTTTGTACTAACATTTTCCAAAGAGCTAACCTGAATGACTTCAAAGTTCAATTGTAGCCACAAAGTTTCCAATTAACAAGTCATTCTCTAGTAGAACATCAAACCTTAGGTTTTATTTTAGAACTAACTCAACATGTACTTTTATTTAAAACTAACTTACCATGTACTTTTAATTGAAGCTAACTTGCCATCTACTTTTATTCAAAACTAACTTACCATTTACTTTTATTCAAAACTAACTTACCATTTACTTTTATTCAAAACTAACTTACCATGTACTTTTAATTGAAACTAACTTGCCATCTACTTTTATTCAAAACTAACTTACCATGTACTTTTATTCAAAACTAACTTACCATGTACTTTTAGTTAAAACTAACTTACCATGTACTTTTATTTGAAACTAGCTTACCATCGACTTTTATTTGAAACTATCTTACCATGTACTTTTAACGTCACAACTCCGCTCATTTCTGAACCATTTCCGTTCGTTGCTTGGCACAAATAATATCCTTCATCGTCTTTAGTTACATCTTGTATTGTTAAGGAACCGTTTTCAAAAATCTGGTAGTGGTAGCTTGTGGTGATAGGATGATAACCAATAGGAGCTATTCCTGTAAAAATTGACCAATTAAATGTTGGAAAATCTTCTATTAATCTCAATCAATATTAATTGAAAACTAACTATAGAGTGTAATAAGTATTTGATTTTTCTGATAGATGATTACACAAAATATAGTTATTGCTGAGGGACAATAGGTAAATTTTACAATCTTAAATTAAACACGTACTTCCAGTGAGATCGAAGACTGAACCTGTGTTGTTGATGTTTAAAGAACTGATATTAAACTCTAAGTTCCAATGCTGTGACTAATTATTTGGGGTTCTTGTTCAATCGTAAAAGTCCGTCTACTTTAAGTCAAGTTAAATGCATAATACTGATATCTTGTGATTATTCTGTTTATAATATAATTTGATATTTGTAACCAAATACTTTGATGAAAATAATACTGCCTGATGTTTCAAATGCAAAAACAGTGGGATAAAATGTTGAAATATCATCCAAAATATTTCTCTTCGTTAACACGATATCATCATTCGGTATCATAGTTAAAAGTTAGACAGTTAGAGCTTTTGACTGAAAATAGAGAGATGCAAAACTACGCTTTAGAGACTTATAAAAGGGTTTGGGTTACCGCTGTGACGAAACACGTAATGGCGACTTTGACAAGAAGTATTAAATGATTTCGTACATTGATTCAACTTTCGAACAAAACAAGATTTCTAGAACGCCAGTTACAATAGAACTATAGCATACATTTACCTCTTATATCCATGAAAGTATTTAGTATAATAGAAAGCAAAAACTCGAGACACATCTAGAAATGTGAGGAAACTCTTACATAACGTGAAATCTCCTTAGCATATTTAGTAGAGCGGAACCCTCATAAATTTTGATATACTCCGTCAACTTTCATGTTGCAGTTTGTGTTCTATCCTTTTCCGAGTTTATCGACCGCTCTTAGTTTGTGTTTTGAGAGTGTGGGCTTAGACACTATATATAAAACCAACGTTATATCGTTTCCTATAAAACGTACGTTATCGAAGCAGGAGAAACTGAAGATCGTAATAAGAAGTCTAGAGTGTTTAAAGGGAAAATTATAACCAACATAGAAACCTATAAAAGTCAGATTTCATGAAACTCAAACCCTGTTTATCAGCATTATAACTTTTAAGGTTAAAATTTATTGCTAAAGTTTGAAAACTGCCAACATTATTCAAGATATTATGACAGCTGAAATTAACACAGAAAATGCATATACTGTTGCCTATTGTATTTGTGTATAATCATATTACATGGATTAACTTGCAGCGTGGCTACGACGAACGCTAGAGATAATTTTTCTCTTCAGATGTTGTTTGTAACGATGAGAGATCGATCGACTTATTGTAAGATATTTGATTTTAAATTTAGTTTTTTTATATACTTTGCAGTGATAACACCTTTTCTTCCTGATTATTAGATCTAATACCAAAAACTGTACTTGCAATAGTACTTCTCTGTAATCACCAAGTTTGTTTCCAAACGTTCTTCAGACAGAAAGAGTTACAGGCTATTCACTAAATATATCTTAAGTCCTAGATCGTGCTGAATGTAATGCTTTCCAAATATATTCAGGATATTTGGTATATTATCATCAAAGCAAAGTAATGACTCTTTCACATGTTTATACAGTTTAACATATTACCCGGGAAGATAGAATCAGTGAAGAATATCATACTTAGGACGCTGGTTATATTTGTCATATAAATAAATAAATGTGCTATACAAACCAAATTTGAAGCTACATTTTCTATGCTGATAGTACTTACGATTAAATGTGCTATACAAACCAAATTTGAAGCTACATTTTCTATGCTGATAGTACTTACGATTAAATGTGCTATACAAACCAAATTTGAAGCTACATTTTCTATGCTGATAGTACTTACGATTAAATGTGCTAT